GGACGGTTGCAGAACAACAAGGGAGAGAATAGTACACACAGGATTCTTCAGGACTATGCAACTGATGCTGTCCAGGAAGGCAGGAGGACTCAGGTGGTCTTACGACCGCTGACATCTCTGCTTCTGGCGAAGTTATGGGTGCAAAGTTGCAAACCTGAAGGTGATGTATTTAGCCGGGAATAATAAATCGGAGAATGTTAGCAGAATCTTTGGATAGTGTTGAAAAGGGCCTGTGTTTCTTATTATCTTTTGGATACTTGTATTGCTCAATAGGCATTCTTAAGTGAAAAGAAACGTCAATTTATCTTTTTCTGTGTGTGTGTGTGTGTGTGTGTGTGTGTGTGTGTGTGTGTGTGTGTGTGTGCTTGTTAGTGTCCGTGTCCATGTGTCTCCGTGTGTGTGCGTGTGTTGTGTGTTCACTGGTGCTTTACACAGAAGAATCATGACTGTGTATGTGTGTGTCTGTGTGTCTGTGTGTGCTCTACACAAAAGAGTCATGACTCTGTGCCTGTGTGTGTGTCCGTGTCTGTGTCTGTGCCGAAGCGCATGACCCCGTGTGTGTGTGTTGTGTGTCCACGTCCACGTGCTTGTTAGTGTTTGTGTCCATGTGTGTCTGTGTCTGTGTGCGGGTGTTGCGTGTTCACTGGTGCTTTACACAGAAGAATCATGACTGTGTGTGTGTTTTAGATTTTCCCCACAACAGCCCCAATTCCACCCAGGTGAATAGATTCAGAATCAAAGCGGTCTTCGTCCTATTGCAGACAACAAGAGCATTTGAGATGTCCAACATGTTAAAGCAATTTTATAATTAGACAGCTTTTTGGTTGTCCTTGGGGTACCCCTTTGTGTGTGTGTGTGTGTGTCTGTGTCTGTGCCCAAGTGCATGACTGTGTGTGTGTGTGTTGCCTTTCTGGTCTGGGTTTTGGTACAACCGTGTCGGTGCCTGCAGTATGCATGGTGGCATAAACCCCCAGCACCTCGCCAAGGGGAAGACTTGAGAAGCTGAAAACGAGTAAAAATCGTCATTCTGGGTTTGGATGAACAGTGCAATCGGTCCAAAATCGCTGGCAGGGCCAGCCAAACAAAATATGAAAATGGCTCCGGGGGGATTAATTTTTCTTCTCTGACGTGCAGGCAGAATCCAGCTCGACAAAAAGTTGCTCGGAGGTGCTGATGGTTCGAGGGGCAAGCACTGTGCTTGTGGTGTGTGTCATGATGTGAGACTGCGGTGTAATCTGTGTGGCATGAATGGCAAAGGCATATGGTGGTCTTTTCTTGGGGATGTGATCCATAGTGTGAAGCCACGCCAAGTCTGTGATGCCATTGTCTATTCCACAGCACGGCCCACTGTATGACACTGCGGTCTGGTCCGTGGTAATCCTTGGTCTGCGTGGTTGCACTGTAATCTCGTCTTTGGTATGATGCTGTGGTCTAATTTGCCTTGTTTAGGGTACAATTCTGAGATTCCGTACACACTGTTTTTTTTTTTTTGTTTTTTTTTTTTTTTAAACAGACGCCCCCGTCAGTTTTAGCGGTGCTGATAAGAGCAGCCACTGCTAACACCTGGGGGGGAGCTCCATCTACACACTGCTACGCTATGGCTTTGTCCATAGTCGGTTGGTGGGTTGCAAGTTTGGCTGGTTTGTTGATCGGTCGGTCGGTCGGTTGGTTGGTTGGTTGGTTGATCGATTGACCGATTGATTGACTGACTCATTGATTGATTGATTGGTCAATTGCGTGCTTGCTTGCTTGGTCTGGCGGGTGGGCGGGTGTGTCGGCAGACGTTTGGTTGATTTGGCTCTCTCTCTCTCTCTCTCTCTCTCTCTCTCTCTCTCTCTCTCTCTCTCTCTCTCTCTCTCTCTCTCTCT